TCTCCAGCCCTAGACAACTAACTTGTAATCCACTTTCTGTCTCTATGAATTTGCCTATTCTGGATATTTCGTGTAATGGAATCATACAATGCATGGTCTTTTGTGACTGGCTTCTTTCACGTAGCACACTGTTTTCAAAGTTCATCCATACTGTAGCATGTATCAGTATTTAACTATGGCCAAATAATAGTCCATTGTACAGCTATACCACATTTTATCTAGCTGTACATTAGTTGATAGATATATAAGCTGTTTCCACTTTTAAGCTATTATGACTAATGTTGCTATGAAATCTCATGCAGAAATCTTTTTGTGCCTTTTATTCATCTCCTGTAGTAGAATTGCTGGGTCACATGGTAGCCCGTGTGACCTTTGAGGAATTAACAGACTGCTCTCCAAAGCAGCTGCACCATTCTACATCTCCACCAGCAGTGTATGAGTGTTCCAATTTATTCACATCCTCATCAACAATTTTTACCATCTGTATTTTTTATTATAGCCATCCTAGTGAGGTTGAGATGATATCTCATTGTGATTCTGATTTGTGTTTCCCTGATGACTAATGATGTTAAGCATCTTTTCAGGTGCTTATTGGTCATTTGTTTGTCTTCTTTGGAAACATGTCTATTAAAATCCTCTGTCCATTTTTACTTGAGTGATTTGTCTCATTATTATTGACTCGTAAGAACTCTTTATATATTGTAGCCATTAGTCTCTTGTCAGATATATGATTTGCAAACATTTTCTACCATTCCATGGGCTACCTTTTCACTTCTTAATAGTGTCCTTTGAAACACACAAGTTTTAAAATTTCACTGATGTGCAAGTTGTTTTTCAACTTCCCTCCCTTTTTAAAACAGAGCATTCTTCATTTTGTGTTTGTCTGCATTTTCCTTGTATTGAGATGGAGGTGATACATTTTGGCCTAAGTACAGTATAGGTGATGGTATGTTCTTCTCAGAATATCACATCTGCAGGCACATGATATCCATCTGTCCTTTATTGGACATGCTAATTTCGATCATCTGGTCAAGGTATTGCCTGATTTCTCTGCTGTATAATTACTGGCTTTTTTCCTATCCCATTCATGATGTTTAAAAAGATGAAATTCACTCTTTTCAGTCTGTCTACACTCCATCAGCACATTGCACTTTGAGTTCTGTACTCTCCCTGGCACATGCTGCACAGTGGCCAGACCCACCTTGGCTGGGCCTGTGTCCTCATGTCTCAGAAAGGGGCTTTGTTCCACTGACCACAGGTTTCATGCAAATTATTCACACCCTGCTACAGTGAGTGTCTTCATTGACTTTGCTTGCCTAGAGACCTGAGTACTGCCTTCTTGGACTCAGAAGTTGGATGTTGCCATGCTGGAAACATCAAATAGAAATAGGCAGTTCTGGAAAACATGTAATTCTGGGCTCAGCAGGGGGATGTACTGTGATCCTCACATACCAGGGGCTGAGGATTGGGACTCAGAAAAAGATGAAGGATTGAGAGGCCGCGCCGTGTATGTGTACTTGTGTCTGTGCTGTCCCTGACCTAAGAGAAGCTCAGGAGATGGGAAGAGCTCATTTTACCTTTCCAGCTCAGGAGGACAGGGGTATTTGGAAGGCGTTGTGTAAGAACCCAAATCAGGCGTCATAGCCTTTCATTCCTACTTCAAGCTTTAACTCTTCTGTTGCTAGGACACACCCCACTAGAAAAACTGTGACTAAAGAACATTCTGTCTCAGTGAAATGGGGAAAACCAGCAGAGAATGAACCCCTTTAAAGAACGTATCTTGGGTTTAACTTCTAAAGTCTCAAGAAGTGAAAGGTAATGATGAAGATGAGGATGACAGTTAACATTTATTGGGCCCTTACTACGTGCCAGGCAACGTTTCAAGAGTTTTCCAGGTATTAACTCATGTAATTCTCAAAACAACTGTATCTGGTAGGTACTATCATTATCTTTATTTACCGAAACTGAGGCACAGAGAAGTTAAATAACTTCCACAAGGTCACATAGCTAATAAGTGGCAGAACTGGGACACAAATCCAGGTACCGTAAAGGACATAATGGGAGTCTTGGAGAATATGAGCATTATGAATCATAAATCTTAGAGAAGGCACCTATCAGTGTGATAAATGTAGAGAATGTGCTTTCAGAGAAGTATATTAGGAATACTGGGCCGGGGGAGTATGGGTGAGTGATGCTGCTCAAGTCATCCCAGTTCCTCATGGGGAGCCTTAGTGATGGTTTATCAAGCCTCTTTGTTGTTGTTGTTGTTGTTATTGTTTTTGAGACAGCATCTCACTCTGTCACCCAGGCTGGAGTGCAGTGGCACAATCTTGGCTCACTGCAACCTCTACTTCACAGGTCAAGCAATTCTCCTGCCTCAGCCTCCCGAGTAGCTGGGATTACTGGCATGTGCCACCACCGTCTGGCTAATTTTTGTACTTCTAGTAGAGACACGGTTTTCACCGTGCTGGCCAGGCTGGTCTTGAACTCCTGACCTCAAATGATCCACCCGCCTTGACCTCCCAAAGTGCTGGGAGTACAGGCATGAGCCACCGTGCCTGGCCCTATCAAGCCTCTTATACTTGGCACCTGCATTACTCAAAACTCCAGTTTAGGTACCTGATGTGGCTACTAAAAGCTGCCTTCTGCAAGCCAAGTCACCTGGAAGTAACATTGGGGTTCCAATGTGCTATAATGTCCACAGTTTTATAGCATGATCAGGCATCTCACACACACACAGCTGCATTGACAGTGTATGCTGATGACCAATTTGTGGTCACACACGATGGGTTACCCACAAGGCTGCAGAGGGCTGCACTTAGTAGGCTTGGCCAGGGTTCACCACAAGCTCACACTCCGTACCTCCATGCTCTTCTGCTGTGCATGCTGCTTCAGACATTACTGGGCTCTGTCTTCTTTGGGGCATTGGATCCAGTTCCTGCTTAGCAGCTATTACTTTTTTTCAACTGCAACACATGTAATAAGGCAAAGCCAGCACCAAAGCTCAAATTTGAGGTAGGCTTGTATTTCTACTTCTTGCATTTTGTAGGGAAAAGACAGAAAACTTCAAACTGTGGCCCAAAATTATCCTTCAGTCCTAGGATACCATGTAGGATCAGAGAACAATCCAAGGCAGTGGTAAAACATGCAAGATAATAATCGAGGAGTAGATTTTTTCCTCATCATTCCTTCAACTCCTTTTCCCTTCTGACTCAGGACTATATATCCAGCCTACCCAGGTGCCTAGACCGTAACAGTGAATACATGAATATGCTGTGTGTGTATATGAGATTCAGAGCGTTGTTGATAGTTTGAAATGACCTAGATCAATGAGTTTGGACTTGGTCACTAGTTTTTCTCTGCCAAGCAGAGAAAAAAGGAAAATATCTAAACAAACTCCGAGGGCTGTGTCAAACAACATGCAATCAATCAATTGTCAAACCACAGCCCTAGTCCCCAGGTCCCCTTGGGTAAGATCTTGTCTTGAATTACGGGCATGTAAGGTCTGAGGCAGTGGGATGGGAGACAGAAACACAGATTGACTCCATATTGCAACCACTAGGTGGCACCTGTTCGAGGAACTGCCCAAATGGCTTGTTCACAACTTGGAGCATTGGTCAGCTTGGCTTGACATGAAATGCCAAGGTCTAGATGGACAGATAAAGAAGCTTGCCAGGGCCAGTGCTGCCAGGCTTGGTTTGAGGAGCCAGTGCTCTAGGAGGGGCCTGGATTCATGACTCTAATGAAGAGCTCATCCTATCTAAGACAGCAGCTCCCTCCCACCACCTCCTCATTCTTTGTCCTTTAGCCCTTCCTTGTTTATAACACTCATCACTACTTGACTTTACAGTATATGTTCATTTGTTTATTGTCTGTCTCCCCAGACTGGAACCCAAATTCCAAAAGAGCAGGGAGCTTCTTTTGCTCCCTGCAGTATCCCTGGCTCCTACAATGTCTGGCTTTTAATAGGCTCTCCATAAATATATGTTGCATAAATGAATGAATGACCAAATACATAATAAGAAATCATTAGTAACTAAGGTCTGTAGTTGCACCCCCTTTACGAGATACTCTGAAAACCAAGCACTACTGAGTTACTGTCATTGTCTGCGGTAAGTGGGTTTAATTTGTATCCCTTTTATTCAACTAAGGCAAACTGCCTATATTAGAGTGGTTTCATTTTCTAAATCTATTTTGATGCTACTGTGTTCTCTGGAAAGCGCTTCCTGCTGAGTAGTGAGATCTTCATGGCTGTATCACTGACATGGATCACAGGAGCAGCCTTGCTGTGTTAATAGGTCCCTGAGGATTGTTCCCTGCGGGCTGATCGAGACTGCCTGAAGGGAGAAGGAGGCAGGGTACTACAAATATTAGGACACCTCTGAGCTGGGCTCACAAGCCCCTGGAGTGGAAGATGGTCACAGAAATGAAGCCTCACCAAGGCCTCTAAGTTTCTGTGCATGGGCCCCTACTGGCCTCTCCCGGGACCTTAAATCATAGGCAGCTGATGGCTTGCCTAGCTAGAGGGCCATATGTAACAAGGTTCCCTCAACTTGATGAGGAACTGCTTTACTCCAGCCTCAGCTAGTCCATTTGCCTCCCAAATGCTGGCTAGAAGTAGTGTAGACTTGGGTAAGGCTCTCAAGATGTATCCTCTTGTGTGAAAAGAAGCAGAGATGCTGACAGTAACAGGCATCTCTTCAGGGCTGAGAAGATTACAGCTGGGCCTGGAATGACCCCTGGGTTTTCCAGCACATAGACCCACCAACTGTGGTGGTCGGCTGCAGGCAACAGCTCCGGTGCATCTTCCTACAAAGATTTGCCAGAGGGTAAGCAAATCCTTGCACTGTGCTGTGCAGCCACTGCCTTTCCCAAGTTGCCACATGACATTTTAATATCACCTGCAAACCTAAATCCAGTGAGTACCTACAGATGACACACTTAACAGCTCAGGGCATGATTCAGAGGAAGCAATTTTCCGAAGTGAAGATAATTGTCTGTTAGTGTGAAAAGGCAAACACTTTTTTATTAGCATTGGAAATTCAAGGGAGATGTGGTTAAATCCATAGATGCAGCACTTCAGTAAATGGCTAAAGAACAATATCTATAGCTGGAAGGAAGGACTGTACAGATCCACGCCCATTCAGAGTTCACCCATAGAACTAGCTCTCTTGGAGTAAAGATGGAAGCTCAGCTCTCACCTCTTCCTGTTTACTTAATAAGCAGCTCCTCAAAGTCCCGGTTCCTGTGTCCACACAGGAAATCCCAGAATTAAGAGCTTCCTGGTCTTCTTTTATTTACATGTTTCCCAGGTGACCTTAACCTGGGTAAAGTCTCATGCCTTTACTCTGTGACATTAAAACTTATATTCCAGCCCTGACCTCTCCTGGGGCTTTGTATAACCACTTGCCTATTTGAACCCTCCAGTTGGACATATGATAGGCACCTAGAACCTAGAATGGCCAAAATGGAACTCTTAACCATCTCCCCTTTTCACTGTTATATTACTGCATAAGAAGTCACCTCAAAGCCTATCATTTAAAATAATAATCACTAATTTTGCACACAAATCTCTAATGTTTTCTATGGTTCAGTGAGGACTGTTCCATGAAGCGTCAGCTGGAGCAGCTGGAGAATCCCTTTCCAAGATGGTTTACTCATGCAGCTGGCAAGGTTTGCTGGCTGTCGCCTGGGAGTTCAGCCTGGCCAGTGGGTGGAAGGACTGTGGTTCCTCTCCACAGGCTGCTATGGCTTGCTTCCTCATGACATGGTGACTGAGTTCCAAGTGTGAATGTCCTAAGGAGAGGAATTGGAAGCTGCTAGTGTCGTAAGCCCAGGGCCTGGAAACTCGTAAAGCATTACTTCTGCCATGTTAATATTGGTCAAGCAGTCACAGAGCCCAGAGTCAAGGGGAGGCAACATAGACCCTAACTGTCCAAGGAAGGAGCCTCAAAGAATTTGCAAACATGTTTTAAAACTGCTGCATATCCCAAACCTGCTCCTCCTAGTCTTCTCCATCTACCAGTTTCTTAGGCAACTAGGAGTCATCTTTGACTGCCTTCTTTCCCTCAGCCCTTCCATACAATCCCCATCAGCAAATTCTGTTGACTGTCCCCCAAAACATATCCAGATTCCTTCTACTTCTCTCCTCTCCACTACAACACCCTAATCCAGACAATACCTTCATCTGCCAACTGGATGGCTGCTTGGTCTGTTGCAGTAGTCTGTGAAAAACTCTCTCTGCCTTCGTGCTTGCTTCCTATTCACACAGTAGCCAGAGCTACCCTTTTAAAACATAAATCAGATTATCTCACTCCTCTGCCTAAATCCATTCAAAAGTTTGCAACATATTTAGAAATAACTCAAACCCCTCATTCTAGATTCCAAAGCCCGATGTAATCTGGCCGTGTCTGGTTCTCTGGCCTCATCTGTACGACCTGCTTTCTCATTAGACTACGATATACACAAATGCTTGCTCCTACCTGACAGCCTTTGCACTTGGTTTTCCTCTCTCTGGAAAGCTCTTCCCCCTAATTTTCCCAAGGCTGGTTTCTTCTTGCCATTTAGTTTTCAGTTGAAACGTAATTTCCACATAGAGGCCATCTATAATCCCCAATCCTAAAGTAGCCACACAGTCATCTGTTACAGTAACCTATTTTAATTTTCAACATAGCTGTGACCACTAGCTGCTACTTTTCATGTTGATGTATCTGTTCTTTGTCTGTCTCTTCCCTCTAAAATGTAATCTCCATGAGGGCAGGGACCTTGTCTGTCTTATCACTGCATCCCCAGGGCCTAGAAGAGTGCCTGGCAGCAGTTTGATAAATATTGATGTAGCCGGTAGAAATAGTATCTCCAGACAGCCAGCCCCCAACAGGATCACAGCATCTCTTAAGGTAGTTGAGGGTATAGAGAGGAAGCTCCTCTCTATACCTCCTGGGTGTCAGTGGCTTGTGCGTGTACCAGGAACCCAGCTCTGGTGCATGGGGCGGCCCCATGGAGGACCATAGTGACTGGGTTTATGTAGCCTCCTTCCAACCCCCAGAGTATTCCCATCCCTAGCCTTCTTGTGAAATCAGCAAGACAGGATCACACAGTCATGAGCACAAAGTTGCTAACATGCTTGGACAGAATGGTGCAGCTCAGCTCACCTCACCTTCACATCAGTGCAGTCAATAACTCGGGTTATGTGACATTCGAATTTTCATCTTATGGTCAGACTCAGAAATATAGGCCAAGCTCCAGTATAACAAAGTCCAAGTGCTTGTTTTAATGCAGTTTTTTTAATGATGATGTTCAAACTTTTGAAGAGAAATCTGAAAGATTCAGAACCTAAATCTGAATATTTAGGGCCCATCCAAATAAAGAAGTTTGATTAGGACTTTTAAAGAATCAATGTTATTAACAGGTTAAAAAAGCAACACTGAGATGAAAAGCAAGTTTAACCATAATGAAGTTGTCTTTGTTTTCTTCAAAAATGCTTGTTAAACTTTTTTTTTTTTAGCACTTTGGTATAGAGAATTGGCTGTGCATAGAACTGTTATTGAAATAACACTATAGTTGTAGATAGTCCATCCATTAGGGAAATGGTGGCTTGTTTGATTGGATTCTTTTTTATTCACGGTAATGAGATTTTTGCTTGGGGATTTAAATGTTTAAAGATTCAATAACACTGAAAATTCAAGTTCAAGAAATGACGGTGAGGCCCCGCTGGGCTGACCCAAAGTGACATGATCGTGTGGCATTTAGAGGGTGTTTCTAGCAGTGCTGTTACTGTTAGAGAATGAGACCACCCTGCAAGGGGCTGCTCATGTCCATGGAGCAGAGTCCATCTCTCACATTTGAGAGTGGGGAAGGAAGGTGTACATGACAGGCTGGCCTCACCACACCCACCTGGACCTCAGATCCCTTGTGATGGGAAGCCCACTTGGGGAGTAGAACCCTTGGCAATACTGACTCAGGGTTTGTGAAATCTCCTTTTCATGACAATTGATGATTATTATCCACTGAGGAAATTACATTTCACCTGAACTCCCCAATCCCTCAGGCATTGGCCAGCAGAGTGTCCGAGGGCACAGCCGAAGGTGCGAGAGTCGGCACTGTGCGTTTGCTGCAGGGTGGAAGCTGGCAACGAGGAGGGCTGGCAATAAATGTACATTATTATGTCTCCAGAAGTGCTTAGTTTTTATCTATTTATTTCTAATTCTTTCTGCTTTAAGTTTTGTTGTTTTTTTTTTCATGATCACTGCTTAGAACTCAAGCTCCTGGGATCAAACTTGTATCACACAGGCTGGAGAAGGCTGTGGAGAAACCGAGTCCTCCCAGGTCTCAAGGTGGGTGGAGGGAGCCTGCAGGGGTCTCCTTCCCTCCCCTCTTGCCTGTTCTGCCTGATCAGAGCCTGCACACGAGTGCAGAGGGCTCCCTTAGAGAGCGCTGGGCTAGAGGAAGCTGAAGTTTCAGAATAAGCATCCTATTCTGTGGCCTCCTTTCCACTACAAACTCCTTGAGGAGGAGTGAGACCCCAGAAGGACAGGTGAGTCTCACCTAGGCTGACCAAAGTCCAGCTCAGCCAGCCCTTGATGTATCCAAGATATCCGCCCACAGCAGTGAGAAGCTGATGCCACTCAAAGCCATTCTCAGTCTACATCCACGATGCTGGGAAAGAAAAACCAAGTTCAATTTACCAAAATATCTGTATTATCTATAAAAATTGAACTCTAATGAGTCACTGATACTGGAGGCAGCAATATCCGACTGTGCTGACATGCAGAAGGAAGATAGCTCTGTCCCATCAACCCTATAGCAGAACATTTGTACTGAGTGGCATGTGGGCGGAGTCATTTGTAAGGCCTCAAAAACCTGGACACTTTGGAACGTAGCAATCGGATGAAAGATCTTGGAAACATCTCTCGGGACTCCTGGGCTGTGTACTTGAAATAGTTCTGGGGATGGGCCAGGACATCAAACAGAGCCTTGATAAGTTTCTTATCCTAAAAAGAACAGAATTTTTGTTACTGGGCCAAAATATTTAAATATGCTGACATTTTGCCCATGGAACTGTGATGACCTAGTATTAGGCCGTAGCTTGCTTAGCTGAAAAACACTTGAAAAATTGTTTCCTCTGATTTTTATCTTCTTTCCAGTTTTTTTTTCCTAATTAGTTATATGAAGTATGAATTACTTTTATAAATAAAACTTTAATATGGAAAAAACCTGTTTTCTTTTTCCCAACCAGATGAATGCAACACTGAGATTTGGGAGAATTTGTAGGATTAGTGATACCACAAGTGTTTATTGCTAATTATTTGTAAGTATTTAAACTTTGGTGAATTTTAGGCTTGAAGTATACATAAGGAGCCAAGGATCTTCAACTATTTGTAATTAATAGAAAAACATCATTTGCTGCTGGTTTGGATTTACAAGCAGATTTCTCCCTGCCCCTCCACAAGTTTCCAAATTAAAAAATACAACTTCACTTGACAACACTAAAGACAGCAACCTGATTTTTTAAAAAATTAAGTCTGGTGAAGGTATAAAACTGACCTTGGCCCAGGACAGGCTCCATGTCTGAAAGGTGGCGACACGCAGCAGGAGGAGAAGCCTTCTCCAACAGTACTTGGGAAGCTCTGTGGATAACTGCCATGTCCGCCTGAGCCATGCACTCACCTTAAGTATTTCCTGATGGTTCTCAGACGCATAGAGCCTACCATCTCGAACTATGTCTTCAATGAGTTCCTGGTAGTCCTCTGTTGGAATAAAGAACATGTTTTGCATTCTTATGATTTGTTACTTCCAAACTCGCTCTTTCACTTTTTGATAAGGTTCTGAGAAATGCCCCTTCTGTGGCTGCTATCACTTGCCATTCTGCTACTGAGAAGACAGTCAGAAGGGAACTTCCATAGACTCCACCACCTCTCTTCACATACCAGCACCTGCACCCATCTTCCTCCTCCCCTCTTCCCTCAGATGAGCCTCTGTGCATCCAGTCCAGGCTCATCCCTCCACTTAGCATGCCAGGTCCATCTTCTCTCCCCAAATCAACAGTATTGTTCTAGTAATTCTGCTCTTTTTTTTCCTACATTATACATTTTTCTCTCTATTGATCTCCCCCACCCACCAGCATACAAAAATGCTGTATGTCTCTGACTTTAAAAATCCCTCCCTTGACCTCATTTCTGCCTCCAGCTTCCATCTCACTTATCTGCTCCCTTTTGCAGCAAAAATCCTTAAAAAATATTGTCAGCACCCACTGTCTCTGATTCTTTCCCTTTCTTTCTCTCTTAAACCCAGTCCAATCAGCTTTGGCCCCCATTACTCCTCCAAAACTGCTTGGTGAGACCAGCAATGACCTCCATATCGCTAAATCCCAATGGCCAGTTCTTGGTCTTCATCCTCCTTGATGCATCAGTAGCTTTTGACCTGGCTGGTCACTCTTCCTCCTTGATCCAGTTCTTCACTGAGCTTCCAGGACACCATGCTCTTTGGTTTTCCTCCTACCTTATCCGTTACTTCTCTGAGGCTTCTTTGCTTTTCTTCTCTCTGACCTTTTACCAAAGGAGGGTCCCAGGGCTTAGTCCTTGGTCTTCTCTTCTCTGTCTACACTCACTTCCTATTGAGCTCATCAGGCTCTCCTTTCCCTCTCCACCTCCCCGCCTCCCACTTTTTTCTTTATCCTTGTATTATGTAAAACAATCAAGCTTCCTATCCACCAAGAAAGACTCTTCTCTCCTTTATTTGAATGGGGCTGGAGAGTGGAGAATTTGGCTGGTTGGGGAGGAAGAGAACTATGTGTGCGCTCTCATTAATATTTTTTGTCCTGATGTACACATTAAATGCAGTGCACGCTGTACTTCTCCAAATGCCAATCTTCCCCCTTTGAAGTCTAGCTTATTTCCTATAGTCATCATTCAAATCAAGCATATGCAAAGCACAATCTTTTCCAAATTCCAGACACAGAAAAAATGCCTCTTTGTATGCATATTGTGTGTGACAAAGCCAAACACAGTATAAGAACATCATTGAAATTGTGTGAGAGGAACTCTTGAAAAGTTTCTCTCAGTTAAGGGATGGTAAATGGAAAGTAATGGTATAATAGTTACAATTACTAATTTGATATGTTTACAATAGCATTGGTACTCTATTAGTGTGGTGTCTTCTTTTATTTTAGTGAATATAAAACATGAGAATACATTTTCTTTCATCTTGAATTCCTCTGCGGCAGTGTCTCTCCTCTTTTTGATGATGGGACTGCATCATCATTGTTGCTGTGCTGCATTCTGGTGTAATAGGAAACTAGAGAGCTGTTTGCCATTCCACCAAATGCTTCCAGACTGCTATTGTTTAAAAAATATATTTCTTCTGCTTTTAAGAACTGTGTTTCCTTACTTGCTCCAACTCATGAGAAATGCAGCAAAGTTACATTTAAGAATCCAGGCTCTGGAGTCCCAAAGTCCTGGTTCAAACCCTGCTTTGCAACCTTGCCATGCTGGGACCTTAGGTCAGTTCCTTAAATCTCTAAGCCTGAGTGGCCCCATCTATAAAATCAGGAAATAATCATGTCTACTTTATGGAGTGATTGTGAGGAAAGCACCATGTAAAAGGCACTTCAGCATGTACCTGGCAGTCAGCAATGCTCAATGCGTGTTAGCCCCGGCTACAGTTCTCACCGTTCTCCAGCTCTCAGAGGGCTCGTCTATAGCAGCCTCATGTGCACCTTCTAAATGTGATTTCTATTCTTCTGGGTTTGAAAAGAAGATATCAAATTTTTTGGAAATACATGTTCGAATAAAACGCTCTGAGTGAAGGCCTCGGGGGCTTCTCTGTGGGGAAAATAACAGTTTCCAACTATTCTCTACTGTGACACATGCAAGACACACTCTTGTGGGCATACACTGCATTATGTGTAATTTTCCCCAGTTGGAGCTACAACTCTTTTTTTAATTAAAAAAAAAATCAAGACATTTTAATGTGTCACAAAGGCAGAGTTGAGAACAGCCATATTTATTTTGGAGTCTCAGTGTCTTTTTGCTTTCTTCCTGATTCCAGATAGGAGAGGTTGCCAGTTGGTTGCTTTGGGGTAGATGAGGCTCTCTGTCTCTCTCAGCAGAGCCTTGTGGGAGGCATTTGTGTCTACCCCAAGAGTCAGATACTAAAACTCCTTGTCTTGGGTGTTTGACATTATTTCAGGCAACTGTAGGACAAAGATGATGATCCTTGCTTTTGTTACTTTTTGGGAAAGCTATAGAATATTGTCTTCCCAAACAATTTTGGCACTTGCCATCCTAAATTCCTTCAGTGGCTTCCTCTAAGATTAAGTCTGTCCTCCAGAGCTTGGCCCTGAAGGCTCTTCATAGCCGAACCCCATTCCCTTCTAGTCTCCTCTCTCACTGCCAAGCCCTACACACCCTACCCACTGACCAAATAAGATCATTCATCGGTCCACACATACACCAGGTACTTCATCCTTTGACTTATGTCCTTCCCTTTTTCTGAATGTTCTTCTCCCCCATTTATGCTCAAAATGTATATGTTCTTTCAAAACCCACATCTCTCAAGACTTTGCTCTATTCCTTCTAAAAGCTCATGTAAAATTAACTGCTGCTGCTGCTTCCATGCTCACCTAGGGCTTTGTGCTGTTATAGCATCTATAACTATATATATATATATATATATAGTGTTTCTGTCACTAACCTTTGTGTTTCTGTCACTAACCATGTTGTTTCCAGCACTTAGCCCAATGCCTGACATAGTAGATGCTCATTAAATATTTCTTGTCCAGATGAACAAATAAGCTCATGAAGAAACAGATGATTCCTCTCCCACAGGACTGTGTAGTCCTCCAGGACAAAGGTCCAGTTCATTTTATGCTGTTAGTCCATGTTTGCCAACCAAGTCTCAGAGCTAGGTAGAGCCCCAGGGCTCAGATGGGCCAACTCTTCATCTAACATGAAGAAAATGAAACCAGAAGTCATCTGACTTGCCCAAGATCCCACAGTGAGTCAGTGAAAAAGCCAGGACGAGAACTCAGGTCCTTCCCCACCTCAGGATTCTACCTAATAAAAGCCACAGTCATAAGAAGTTAATATTTACTGAACAATTACTATGTGCCAAGCACTGCCTCAAGTCCTTTAGGAACTCTCATTGAACTCTCAAATAAGTCTAATGATTATCCTCATTCACACATTAAGAACATGAGGCTTAGAGATGCATACACAAAGTCACAGAAGAAATCATAGCCAGGCCGATCAATCTGACTCCAGTGCCCATGTTCTTACTCACCAAGCAATGCTCACTTTTAATATATTTTCTAAAACATCTTTTCCTCCTGTTGTCAGTGTCCCCAAATGCCTGTTAAAATTTGGCACTTGTGAGTCAGCAATGTCTTTTCCCCTCATCCTGCCTGCCTTTCTGAGCATGTGTGCTTGTCAGCAGTTTGCCAGCTGGCTCCGAAGTTGGCTCTGTTGAAAGCAGAGAGGCTCTTTCCATGTGCTGCAGGCTGTGCTTACCATCATACGTCACATATGGGACCTGGAACCCTCTAGCACTGTTCCCTTCATTGGATTTAAACTGAATCCACAGCTTCTTTGACCTGGAGGTGAAGGCAATGGGGCGTTCGTAGGTCTGGCAGGTTTCATATGTTGTCACAGAATTGGATGAAGCTGCCAAGGGAAGTTGGAGAGGGGTGGGGTTTAAGACTCACCACTGATCAGGCATACAGTAGATGCTCATCTTTCTAAACATTCAAACCGTACAATAAGTTATGCTCAAGAGCTCTTCAGGCCCAGCTGAGCTATCATAAGTCAAAGGTCCTGGAAATAGAGTAGATTCAGCTGGTAATTATGGACCCCCAGGGGAGGCTACGCCGGAAAGACCTGGGGCTTGGTAAGCAGCAGCAGCCCAGACTGTACCATTCACTGTAGGAGCTGGGTGAGGGCCTCCCATTCCAGAACTGACCTGTTGTCATCTAATCATCATCACCACCATTTGCTGCCTAAGACCAGGCAGTGTGCTAGGCAATTTATGGGCTTTGTCTCATTTAATCTTCTGAAAACCACAGAAAGTTGGTGCAACTGTTACCTTTTTAATAGAGAGATTACATACTTGCCCAGGGTCATATAGCCAGTATGTGGTAAAACAAGGATTTAAATCTATACTTAACTTCAGACATTTTAACCACTAATAAGGAGAGCAAATGATATAGTGGCTTCATGTGTCATCATCATTCTTTTTGTTTGTTTGTTTCTTTTTTGAGACAAGGTCTGGCTCTGTCAACCAGGCTGGAGTGCAGTGGCATGATCACGGCTCACTGCATCCTCCACCTCCTGGTCTTAAACGATTCACCCACCTCAGACTCCCGAGCAGCTGGGACCACAGGCGTGCACCATCATGCCCAGCTAATTTTTTTAAAATTTTTTTATAGAGACAGGGTCTCACCTAGGCTGGTCACAAACTCCTGGGCTCAAGCGATTCTCCTGCCTCGGCCTCCTCCCTCAGCCTGGGATTACAGGTGTGAGCCACTGTGCCTGGCCTATTACTCTAAGTGTTTCACAACTATGAACTCCTTTAGTCCTTATAATAACCCTATAAGGTAGCAACTGTTATTAGCCCCATTTTTTAACAGATGAGAAGACTGAAGTGCAGAAAGATTCAGAATGTGTGCCCGAGATCATAGAACTAATAAGAGGTGGAACTGGGACAGAGATCCAGGCAGTCTGGCTGCAGAGCCCCTCATTACACTGCCCGTAAGCCGTGTTGATAGCAGTCTTCCTTTATGGACACTGGACCATGAATCAGGATAGGAGGACAGGTCCCCACCTGGCCAGGCTCGGTCAGTCCCCAAGCCATCAGTTGCAACTCAGTATGAGGCCTTGTCTGGGGCCAATACTGCATGCTCCTCACTGGCTCTCCGGGTCCTTGTGGAAGAGGGTCCAAAACACCCCAGTGAGCACAGAGGGGAAGACTGACCTGCAGGGTCACTACCTCTGGGGTCCAGCAAGACGCTTCAGTGTGTGGCTTTCATTTAAATTTTGTTTCTCACCAACTCTATAAACTCATGTTCACCTCTGCTCTAATATGGAGGTGACGTTCTAGGCCTGCTCCTCACATTGAAAGCCTGGGGAGCAGGTCATTAGGCTTCCCAGCTGGCCTGAGAAAGGGAGGGAGGCAGGGAGTGAGACGCACAGGTTTTCCGCATCACCAGATAGTCTCCACAGTCGTCCTCTATGGGCAGGAAGATCTCAGGAACCACGATCAGGATGCGGCGCTTGGGGGGTGGGTTGATGGTCCACGTACACTCGGTGTTGGCTGGGTAATTGCCTGGGTAGTTTGGGGATTCAATGTATCCAGTGAAATCTCCCAGCTCCCCTCCACATCTTCTGTCTGGAAAAGGAGATGCCCTGAATTATGGCACGACACTGTCGTCTCTGTCCTGACCACCGCTAGCTTGCTGAGCCCTGCAGCATCCCTGTTGCCACCCAGGAATGGGGCATGAAAATGACACCATCTGGGAATGAGTCTGTCCTGTAACCCTCAGGGCCCCCTGTGGGAGCCAAACCATTAAACTCCCCACAAGCAGTCTACCCCTCTGAGTTCCCGAGGCACCGTTTTCTCATTAGCCTGAAAGCGTTCACAGTCAGGGCAGGTATTTGTGAACAAAAGGATAAATTTAGCTTTCAGTATTTTATTTACCAAGTCCAAGTGTCAGAGGAACCCATGAGACAGAACTTCTAGGTCTCTCAAACTAGGGGGAACAGAGCTCATTGCTCTGTGGAGACTATCTGACCCTTTTTCAGAGAACTTTGATGAAGACAGACATACATTTTTCACTTTTCTCTCTGGTTAAGATCACATCTTATTTTTTATTCACCTCTAATTTTAAAAAAAATTATTATTATTTTTGAGATGAGGTCTCTCTCTGTTGCCCAGGCTGGAGTACAGTGGTGCGGTCATGGCTCACTGTGCCCCTGACCTCCTGGGCTCAAGCCTCCCAAGAAGCTGGGACCATATTCAAGTACCATCATGCCTGGCTAATTTTTTTTTCTTCATTTTTTTGTAGAGACAAGGTCTATGTTGCCCAGTCTGGTCTTGAACACATAGGCTCAAGCTATCCCAGCCTTGTCCTCCCAAAGTGCTAGGACTACAGGCATGAGCCACTGTACCCAACCCATTATTTATTTATTTATTTATTTATTTATTTATTTTTTATTTTTTTTTTTTTTGAGACGGAGTCTGGCTCTGTCGCCCGAGCTGGAGTGCAGTGGCCAGATCTCAGCTCACTGCAAGCTCCGCCTCCCGGGTTTACGCCATTCTCCTGCCTCAGCCTCCCTATAGCTGGGACTACAGGCGCCGCCACCTCACCCGGCTAGTTTTTTGTATTTTTAGTAGAGACAGGGTTTCACCGTGTTAGCCAGGATGGTCTCGATCTCCTGACCTCGTGATCCGCCCGTCTCGGCCTCCCAAAGTGCTGGGATTACAGGCTTGAGCCACCGCGCCCGGCCCCCATTTTTTATTTTTAAGGAAGGAAGAAAATTCTAATTAGCTATCAGTAGGTACAGGGCATGCTGGATACTTATGTCTGGCACCAAAGGCAGAGGCTGCACATGCATGCACAGACCCCTCCCTCACCCACAGCACCCAGCTGCATCTTCATTCATCTAATCCCACTCATCCCAGAAATGTCACCCAAAGCTCTGAGAGCTCAGAAATGAGAGAGACACAGTCTTTACTCTCAAGGAGCTCATTATTTAATACTGTCAGGTAAATCTGTGCAAGAGAAGATGTTGAAGGGATTACTTTTTCCATCTCTAGTTACAACTGGGATTTATTATTACTAGAAAAAAAACAAACAGGCTTTTCTTCTTGGAAGAAAAGAGGAGGAAGGGGGAGCCATGGGGCAGAGAATTGCCTTCAGTCCTGAACGGCTGCCCTAGGAACTGTGCCATAAGGCTCCCATGGGGCCAACCAAGGGCCAGGTGGTGGAAGACAAGGGAACATTCATCTTGTTCTAACACTGTGAGCTTTCCAAAGTCCAATCCACCAACAAGCTAGGATATCATGAGGTAGCGAGCTTCCTGTCATAGCAGGTATTCAAGAAGAGACTAGATGGAAGGCTACTTATAAAGATGTTGTTAAAAGGACTTCCTTGCAATAGAAAACCAGGTGACCTTTTCAATCATAAAGTTGGAATGATTTACTGCCCCCCTCAGTCCCAAGCTCCTCTGGTTTAGCGGGGGCCTCTTTGCTTCTCTGATTGCTGTCTTAAAGATTAGCTGGGATTTACTTTTGGCCTTTACTGGAGAGTTTTTGTTGTAATTTTGGTTATAAATGATGGCTTAAAAAAAAAAAAAGCCTAGACAGCAAGTCCTTAAATGATTTGCTTCCCCCTTCCTATAAAACACTAACCGGTCTCCTCAGCATCTATCCAAGGCTTTGCCTCCTGGTCTGCCTGAGACTCCCTTTAGCACATTCTAGCCTGAGATCCAAGGGTCTCCTCCCAAAAGGCCTTTTGCTTTCCTCCATCTGTGCTTCCCTCAGCTGCTCTCTCAAACATAAGGCTCTTTCTCCTGCTCTTTCCCCATCGTCTCCATCAAAACCTTCTCACACCCTCCAGAAGCCTTTCATTATCTCTCGAGACAGAGTCAATTGCTCCTTCCTCTGCAGTCTCACTGCCTGAGCTCCCTGCAGGGTCAGCGATGCTGATTTATTCTGCTTGATATCAACCAAGTCCTGGCAGAATGCTGGGCACGTAACAGGTCCTCAGGCAATGCATGCTGAGCAAGGGTGGGCTGAAATTATGCCCCAGGAAGGAAATTAAGGCAAGTACAGCTTGTAAGTGTGCCTGAGGAAGTAGCCAGGATCAATAAAGATGAGTCGCTCTGCACAGTCAGGCCCTGCTCTCTCTCCACGCTGGTCTGCATGGCTGTGAGCTGGACTCATAACATCTATGTGGTTCTGAGTGAACCTGGGACCTCTGCCCCATGCCCCCTGCTCTGAGTTGGACCCAGACACATATCTTCTTAGCCAGAACTGTGAAAAGCCTTAGAGAGAGAGACCTACTTTTACACTGGGTTATGTTTGTGGAGCCATCAAAGTCAGTCGTAGTATTTCCTGGGCAAGAAACACAATTATCTTTTCCAAATTCAGGCTGGTATGTTCCCGCTGGGCAACGAATACATCGGTGAGTGGTGGTGTTGTAGAAATGTCCAGGTGAACATTGAACTGTGGGGCAAGGGAGGGTGAAAAGAATGAAAAAAGGAAAGATTATTTTAATCAAATGCAGCACAAAGATTTTAAAGTTTGTGAAAGAAATGTTTATGTGCAAATGAAGTAGGGCTTTCCTACCAATCTGGGGCTAATCAACACTTAATCCCTAAATAGGCAGTTTGGATGGGGCTCATGAAACAGAGAAATCCAGAGGGACAAGATATGTGTGTATCTCCAAAGAGTTTCTGGAGAGTCAGGCATCAATGATCAATGTTCACAACTCCAGTCTTCATGCAGAGCATATCTGTGAGTATGAGGGCAGGCGGTTGCAGAACTGAGTTGGGTTTAGAGTTGGGCTCCCTGGGAAAAGGCAGCTGGAGTGGGGTTCTGGAGAAGGGATATTGGGGGGATGTTCTAGGTCAGGGCACTGAGATGGAGGAGGGCTAGAGGAAGGAACCAGGGGAACCTTTGTACCAACTGGCTCATCGGTGCCTGATCATCCCTTGTCAGCCTGTCCAAAGGGGCTAAGGTGGCTGGAGGACAGCTTGTCCAGTGAGTTCCTGTGCCCCCTGCACATCCTGCAGGGGCAAGTGGAGCTGGGACCCCCAGCCACTGGGGCACTGCATCAGGCTGGGCTTGACTGGAGCCTCACCAGACTCCCATGATACTTAGAAGGGAAATCCAGTCCTAGAAAAAGGCAAGCTGCCAAGTGCTCACCTCTGGTTTCACAGTCCTGAAAGGAAGTAGCTCCCTGATGTTTGGTGGGAAGGCCTCCTCCACAGGGGAAGCAGGAAGTTCGGCCAGCTTCAGGCTGGAACGTGCCTAGGGCACAGAGCTGGCAAGGTGCAAAGCCATCTGCAGAATATTCACCAGGTTGACACAGACCTGGAAGGACCAATAGCCTTACATTAGCAAGGCCCCCAGGCAGACCCTTGCCCCCAACTCTCCAGATGAGATCAACTTCAGTCCAACCTGTCACCCCGTGCTGACCGCAGTTCCCACCTCAGTCAGAGAGCACACAGTCAACACTGCGGTGCTTCTGACCCTTAGTCAATGGCACATGAGTGCCTGCTGTTTATACACAGGGCTACACAGCACAGTGCAAAGATGGAAACCAGTAAGTCAAATGTCAACTGCTTCCAAAGTATAGGAAGGCCTGGGGAGTTCTCAGGCTTAGGTCTACACACTGCCTAGGCATCCCCTGCAAGGCAGGAGAGGGAGTTCTCTGCCCTGGAACCAATTTGGTAATTAGATCTAGAAGTACCCCTTTACCTAGCTGATTACATCCTAGTGATATAAAGAGTGATCCGGACTGGGCTTGATGGCTCATGCCTGTAATCTCAACACTTCGGGAGGCTGAGGCAGGAGAATCACTTGAGCCTAGGAGCTCAAGACAAGCCTAGGCAACATGGCGAAATCCCCTCCCTACAAAACATTTAAAAATTAGCCAGACACAGAGGCACATGTCTGTAGTCCCATCTACTCTGGGACTGAGTCAGGAGGATCACTTGAGCCCAGGAGTTCCAGGCTGCAGTGAGCCATATTTGCACCACGGCACTCCAGCCTGGGTGATCCAGCACAACCTTGTCTCAAAAAAAAAAAAAAAAAAAGTGACCCAAAGAGTCTCCCCTCTTTTAACAATAATATTTACTAAGTTAGATCTTACACATGTTACACCTGGGACAAGAAACACAACCATAAACAAACAAAAGGATTTCTAAAAGCACATGTTCCTCAGGAATTAGTCATTGGCAAGATGCTATCGAAGTCTGCTATCTCTTATATTCTTAATCATCTCCCTCCATTAATCATAGTGGTCTTATTTTCCCCCATAAGTTATAGATATAGCATTTCAAGAGCACACCCCCTTGGGAGGAGCCTGGAGCGTGTCAGACCTGGGTTCTGATTCCACATTCTCCACTTGGCTGTGTGACCTTTAAAGAGTCACTTTAGCCTCGTGGAGTTGTAATGATTATATGAATTATGAATAAATCATATAATATACTTAGCATAATGCCTGGCATAGGTGAATATTCAATACATGCTAGCTATAATAACCATTATTACTAATATTCTTATTGCTGTCAATTTTTTTTTTTTTTGAGACAGGATCTCTATTGCCTAAGCTGGAGTGCAGTGGCACAATCACAGCTTACTGCAGCTTGACCTCCTGGGCTTAATAACTATCCCTGCGCCTCAGCCACCTGAGTAGCTGGGATTACCATGTGCCACCACGCCCAGCTAATTTTTTTTTTTTTAATTTTTTCTACAAACGAGGTCTCACTATGTTGCCCAGGCTGGTCTTTAGGGTTAGGGTTAGCCACCTGAGCTCAAGTGATCCTGAACCCAAAGTACTAGGGTTACAGGTATGAGCCACCATGCCTAGCCTAAATTTTTCTTAATAAGGTCACATAGGCTGGGTGCAGTGGCTCACACCTGTAATCCCAACACTTTGAGAGGCCGAGGCGGGTGGATCACCTGAGGTCAGGAGTTTGAGACCAGCCTGGCCCACATGGCAAAACCCCGTCTCTGCTGAAAATACAAAAATTAGCAGGGCATGGTGGCATGCACCTGTAATCCCAGCTTCTTGGGAGACTGAGGCATGAGAATCACTTGAACCCAGGAGGTGGAGGTTGCGTTGAGCCAAGATCACACCACAGCACTCCAGCCTTGGTGACAGAGACTCTATCTCAAGAAAATATAATAATAATAATGTCACATAAAAGGGTAAGTACATGCTGAAATGTCCCCCCTTATCAACCTTGCAGTTAGTTTTGGAGTTTTATAACAGGCCAAAGATATTATAGGAGTCACACAGTCAATATGAGGATTTGATTTTTAAGCCAGAAACAGCCTTGCAGTTGAGTCTGGAGTTACTTAGGTGGGAAATAAAGCTGAGGCTGGGAGTCACTCCAAGGACAGCTGTGGGAGCAGCACAGGGGATCTTCACTCTGTCATGGCCATCAGATACAAATCACCATTCAGATCACACTTGCCACTGGAGCCCACAGAGTGTCAATACAGCCAGCCCTTCTCCCATTTAATAAAAGGAAGACATTTAATAATAAAACAAATAGGAAAGCCCACAGAGCTTGAGATTGACTTCAAAGTTAACATTTTGTAAGAGATAATTAAAAGCTCTTCACAGAGGAGGTCCCAGTTTTAACAAAATAAATGGATATATTTGTTTTAAATAAAAAAGCTATGAATTTGAGACCAAAGCTAGAGAAAACCCCAGACCTCCTCTCTTCATTTTAACACTTTCAAAACAGTACCTATAGACAGGGAAATCACTCAGGTTTCAGGTGTATATATTTCCAGTGAATAAAGCGTGCAGTTGCAACACTTACACTCTTCTGCTAGTGTATTCTACCCCATCTTCATTTATTTGCTCGAATGAGTATCTGCCCAGCATGTATCAGGCACTGACCTAGGCACTGGTGAGCCAAAGATGAGCCAACATGGTCCCTACTTGTAGGAAGCCCCAGGTGAGTGTGCATTGTCTGGAGTCCTTGAGATGCCTTCTGTCTAAACAATGACATCAGAGATGGCAGGAGTAGGAAGGAACAGACAACATCCTTACCTCCACATTCAGACACATTCCAAGATTCTGGGGTCTTCAGGGTCCCAGAATTTCCTGGTCTTGGGCATGGTTCACAAGTAATTTGTCCTTCCTCATTTTGGAAGGTTCCGTTTGGACATAAAATGCAGCGTTCTTGTGCTCCATCATAATAGGTCCCAGCCCTGCAACTGACTAGCCAAAAGGGAAACAATCTGGTCAGTGTGAACACAAAGGCCAAGGAAGGATGATGTGAGTTCTAGAGATGAAGGCAAATAGATGGCACTGACCACACCACCCACCGCATGCAAACTCCCTGAATACACAGTGTGCCCAGCCTCAGTTCTCTCTGCACACCTCTGCACAGCATGATATTTATTGCCCTGTAAGAGGGGTTTACAGGTCTGTCTCTCCCCAGACCATGAGCTCCTTGAGAACAGGGATCACAGGGGTTCTAATTATTTTTGTAGCATAAGCACTTGATGGTTGAAGAGAGATTTAAAAAAATCCTGGATCTCCCTACTTCACAGGGCTGTTGGAACAATTATAGAGATGAAAATCATTCACTGAACATAGGTCTAGTCCTGGAAGAACAGAGTGTTATTAATTCTGCTTGGTGGCATCCTGAAAGGTGTCCTAGACGAGGTCACATTTGTATCAGGCCTTGAAGGATGAATAGGATCTTCACAGGTGGGAAAGGGGGCAGGTTCTAAAAGTTCATGCATTAAATCAGGAGGAGAGGAAAGAAAAGGTTGGGAACAGACTTCAAAAGTTCTTGAGTGCCAGGCATTTGGATTTTATTCTCACAGGTAAAGGAATCATTGAAAGGACAGGAGCCAGGTATGGTGGTTTGTGCCTGTGGTCCTAGCTACTGGGGAGGCTAAGGTGGAATCTCCTGAGCCTAAGAATTTGAGTCCAGCCTTGGCAACATAGTGAGAATGAGACCCCTTCTCTAAAAAAGAAAAAAGAAAAGAAAGGAGAGGAAGATGACCAGAAGCTGTGTTTTGAAAAGCTCATTCTCTGGTGGCCAGCTGGGATGGGTAGTGATCTCAAGACTCTTACAAAATAGCACACTTCAGGTTCATAATAAATAATACAATGGGCTGTGAGCAGTGGCTCACACCTATGATCCCAGCACTTTAGAAGGCTGAGGTGGGTGGATCACCTGAGGTCAGGAGTTCCAGACCAGCTTGGCCAACATGGAGAAATCCCGTCTCTACTAAAAACAAAACAAAACAAAAGCAGAAAAATTAGCTGGGTGTGGTGGCGCACACCTGTAATCCCAGCTACTTGGGAAGCAAGGCAGGAGAATTGCTTGAACTCTGCAATTGCAGAGGTTGCAGTGGGCCGAGATGGTGCCACTGCACTCCAGCCTGGGTGACAGAGTGAGACTCTGTCTCAAAGAAAAAAAAAATAAATACAACAAAGCGTAAACGCTGGTAAATAAGGAAATTCATAAACGTTGCTTCTGATTCTATTTCTAGTACTGTTAAACGTAGATTTGTACCTTATTTTAGGCTATGAATATGAAGCAAACTTACCAAATTTGGCTCCCTACTATTCAAACATCATCAACAGAGTCATCAAAGTAGCATTTCTAATGACTAACATTTGTTGAGTACTTATATCAGACACCATGCCAAAAGCTCTACATATAGTATCTCATTTATTCCTCAACATAGCCCTAAGGATTTAGGTGCTATTATTGGCACCATTTTACAGAAACAGAGACTTAGGGAGGTTAATAATTTGGCCGAAGTCCCACAGCTAATTTGTGAAATACTCCTATGGTACTGTAAGATCAAGAGCTTCGAGTTTAAAAGGGAAAAAAGTTATTTAACAAAAGGGCAGATGTAAGTGCAGTTGAAGACTTTATCAAGGATTTTCTATGGGGCTAGGAGAGTTTGACTGGAACAAACATTCTCTATATGTAAGCTGCCAAGAAATAGAAAAAAATTACATGATAAAGTTAACTATTATAGCTCTCCAGTGTCTATAACAAGGGAAATCGGTTTTCATCCTATTCTACAAATGTAATTTGTATATATACTCTTAGGGTTAAACATAGCAAAGGTCTCTGTTGTAAGAAATAAAAGTGTCTTTTCATTATTCATTCCATAATCTTAAAAAAATCAGGCTTTTGGATCATGGTAAGCTAAAATATGCCACATTTTAAATATTATTTCTACAATTCAATGTAACCAATCAATAAAGTCTATCCTAATATCTAAATCTTAAACTCATATTTCTTGGATTTTCTTTTACAATATTCATGTATCATTTAAATACAATTTTATATATATATATATTTTTTTTCAGACAGAGTTTTGCTCTTGTTGCCCAAGCTGGAGTTCAATGGCGTGATCTTGGCTCACTGCAACCTCCGCCTCCCGGGTTCCAGCGATTCTCCTACCTCAGCTTCCTGAGAAGCTGGGATTACAGGTGCACACCACCATGCCTGGCTAGTTTTTTGTATTTTTCATAGAAACAGGGTTTCACCATGCCAGCCTGGCTGGTCTCGAACTCCTGACTTCAGGTGATCCACCTGCCTCAACCTCTCAAAGTGTTGGGATTATAGGTATTAGCCACCACGGCTGACCACAATTTTATATTTTTAAAAAATTAAAAGTGAACCAAATTCTTGTTTTATTGGCAAACAATATTATAATGAGATTGATGGCAAACAGAGTATAATTCCAGACTTCTTCTCTAAATGCAGCCCTACTGGATAATGGTTTCCATATCACTCTGGTTCCAGCCCAGCTCTCATGTAAAGCTGGGCTGAATTCTGTACTAGGAATTCACGTTTTACCCTATGTCCCACTTGACTCTTTCAGTGTCTGTAGTGGGCCAGTGAATCAGAGAATAACTCCTTCATGGCTCTAAGGAGCCTGCCTGTCATGAAGACTGGCAGAAAGCAGGTAAAACCAAGGCTGTCCAGAGCCCCTCTGCTCAGCCATTTCTATTTGAAGAAGAGCTGTTTTTATAATACTCATCCATGGAAGGGAAAGTGCCCATATGGTGACAATGATTCCAACAGCCCCGTTAATCATAACTTAGAGTCACATCACCATGGTCTGTTCCATCATGGTTCCTCTGGCAGAAAACAGATGCCCTCGGCAGGTGGACACCACCAGGCCTGGTTCTCACTGAGCTGGGGACCAGGACAGGCTCCTGCTGCTCTGCTGTCCCTTGCTCCTGAGAACTCTTTCAACCTCCACAGCCTTTGCAAGATAACCTTTAGAGAGACCTCACAATATCCCACCTCTGTGCCATTTCTTAACTGCTCGAAGGGCTGAGAAACCCTTCAGGCTGCCCTGTGGAAAAGAGGGCACCAATTCTTTTTCCTCACAATGAAAGGCCTGCTTCACATAAACAAACTCATATTGTCAGTCACCATTTCCATTTTCCTTCCAGAGAGAAAGGCCTGCAGAAATAATTCATGCCAAGCACCTCCCAAATATATTTGATTCTTTCACAAGGTAAAAATGAGCTAAACACTAAAAGGTGACTCTGAAATATCATGAAGGGATGCCTGAAAACAGCTCTTTGCAAATGTGCTGAGAATCTGGCCTGTGGAGACCTCAATCACATGTTCCAGTGGCTTCTCTCTTCTCCTTCAGCAGCCAGCTTGTTTTGCTGCCCAGGACAAAGGAGTCAATTGCCCCCAGAACACTTCACTATCACAGCAAAGCTTTTGTCTGCCTTCAGTGACCATTAAAATCTCATTCTCAAATCCCACACAGCTGTTTTCTCTCCTTCTTTAAAAAAGATATGAGAAAGCTTTTCTGATGCAAAAGGGACAGACCAGCAGGATGAGGATTAATGGCGACAAAGAGGCCTCAAGCCTTGGCCTCTTTTCAGCACTGTGGCCTTTGAGTATTTCAGGCTATGGACAAACACTATGGTCTCTCTGTGGCTCAGATGATGAACCTAATAAAAGGGGTCACCCTCTAGCATTGGACTGTTTTCTTAAGAATCACGCCTTGACTTCTGAAGAAGAGCCACAAGCAGCCTACACGGATTCCCAGGGTGCCCCAGGGCTGCTGCTTTGTCCCAGTTCAGAAGCGCTGGTGCCCCAGGCAGCGCTGGCCTCAGGATCCTGGTTTGAGCTTTCTTTAAATGACTGCCCCCAAGATAACAGGGGACAGTGCCTTCTTGGGCTGAGAGATTGATTTTTCATTGTCCAGGTTTTTGACCTGTGCTCAGGTTTGCTCTTTAAAAACATTCCTATAGTTAGGGCACAGAAATGAGCCCAGCTTGACGCCTTCTTCCTTATTGGGTTCCCAAATGCACACTGTTCTTTCCATGCCTAGTTAACTGGAGTTGAGATTTCACTTCTTTTAGAGTGCCTCTTTTGCCCTCAATTTAAACATTTCTCCAAAGATTTGCCCTTTGCCCTCTTTTCTCTTAATGTTATCTGCTATCCTTGGGATTTCATCTGTTGTCCCTGTGAAGATTCATTTACTCATTCATTCAATAAGTACTTATTGAGCACTCATTATGTGCTGAGTACCGTTCTAGGAGCTGGAGACACAGCAGAGAAGACAGATATGACCCTGTTCTAATGGGGTTCTCAGGGAAGTAAATAAATGAGCAATAAATCTCAATGAGCAAACAAATATGTAATCAAATGCAAGTAGTGGTATGATGAAGAAAAGGAAAACAGGGTAAGAGGACAAAGAAGGGGTAGGGATGGAGTTTGTATGTATGCTATTTTAGAAGTGTGGCCAAGAAAGGCCTTTCTGAACAGAGACCAGAATAAAATGTGGGAAATAGGCTGGGCGCTGTGGCTTACACCTGTAATCCCAGCACATTGGGAGGCTGAAGCAGGAGGACTGCTTGAACCCAGAGTTCAAGACCAGCTTGGGAAATATAGTGAGACCTTGTCTCTCCAAAATCACCTTAAAAAGTTAGCTGAGTGTGGTAGTGCATGCCAGTGGGAGGATAGCTTGAGCCCAGGAGGCGGAGGTTGCAGTGAGCCAAAATCACACCACTGCACTCCAGCCTGGGTGACAGAGCAAGACCCTGTCTAAAAAACAAAGACCAAAACAAAACAAAACAAAACAAAAAACAGGAAATAGCCTTGCAATGAGATTGCCTAATAGCAAGAAGGGCAGTGTAGTAGGAACACAGCATAAGCGGGTAGGGCAATAAGAGATTAACTTTAAAAAGCAAGCAAGGGCCAGATCACA